TTATAAATTAATTAAAGACACAAATCAAAAGAAGCTACAACTTTAAGCCAGACAAATTAAAGACCGATCAATATATCGACTTAAAGCGACTAAATGCAAAATAAATAAGACACGAAACCAAGCTTAAAAGCCAATTCCCTTCATGTTTCCCTTTAAAGTTAAGATTTATTTGCATTTAAAGAACACTTTCAATCGGGGCATTAACATCAAACGGAATGAAATCGAAATTAAGCGAGAACGAAGCGCCCAAATGGGAGAAAAGGGACCCCAAATTCGCCTAATTTAGATGTCAATAATTTGGTCGCACAGCCACACCCTCGACGGGGGTACATGTGTGTGTGTGCGGTTCGCCCGCTGACATTATTTTTTGCACTCCCCAAAAGCCATTAGAAAATAAATAAAATATCAACGAAGCAAAAAAAAAAACTGAATATAATAATGCAGGAGGGCCGAGTGGGAGGCGGGGCTTGGGTAGCATGTGTGCGCGATAATAATAACATCAAATTAAAATATTGTAATTCGTTTTTATGTTTTCTGTTTCTCTGCTTTTTCCTGCTCCTATGCGGTGGTGTTTCCCCTGGCCAATACCCAGCACAGCAGTAATTTATTTATTTTGCATGAAAACGCCCGTCGTCTAGTACTACTTTCTACTACTTTCGCTCCACACGTACAGGGTATTTCCAGAGTCGAGTTTTATCGCACAATCAAAGGCTATCTAAGTCCCTCTCCTCTGGCTGCCTGCCCCCATATAGTATTTATGGCCTAATATATTATATATTTATGTGTCTGTCATTTAATAAATTCTGCTGATAATGTCATAGACATCAGCGTAAAAATGACCTCCGACCTCGGAGTGTGTGTGCTTTTGGTGCTTCGCATGATTTGCTTCCATGATTTGTGTTGGTCAAAGTGGCAATGGAGAAGTGCCAGGAGGAGTCAATTTTTATTGTTGTTTATTATTATTTATTTATGTTTACGGTTTGCCCTGCCCTGACTGCCATTGTTTGCCCCTTCTGGTGCACGCGGCGTATACGTAACATGGTGACATGGTATTTGTGGCTTGTGAGGAATTTGTGAGGTAAAGGGTGCCTTGGACACTTAAAAATGCATTGTAGTTTATCATTATTGGTGTTTAATTGGCATATAATAACTTTGCTAGTAGATTTATCCAACATGGCGTATGCGTAACATCTTTAAAAACAACTCTCCATCCAGCTACCTCTGTATAATAATAAATTATGCATTGATATTCTGTTTAGTCTGCAATTTACATGAATTTCGCGGTACAGTGAATTGTCAAACAATTAATAAGTAAACACTCGCGACTCCATTGTGAAGCCTCTCTTCAAATTTGCCCCCGAAACATTTTCCGCCCATCATTTTACCGTTTATGCAGCATTTTGCCAGCTTTTCAATTGTTGTTCTTGTCGCTGACTCAGCTGTCAATGTTACCCCCACCCCCCACGTCCATGGCCACCACTTGCGACCCCATTTGCATATCACATTCACGAATTTTTTGTGTGTTCTCAAGTGGGATTCATTTCGATACTCAAAAACTGCTCAAAAGCCTTCAAATTGTGAGCCATAAATAACAGGGAGAGAACGCCAGAGAGCCCGAGTGGCGGGGACAAAGGAAGATTGCTGCTTTTGTACTTGAATCGATTGTTGGCAATGAAGTCAATTACATAAACGGCATGGAGGAATGAGAGGGTGGCCTGAAATATGGGAAACATGAGGTAGACAAATGATGCGGCCAAGAGCTTTGAATAAAAATATCAATAAATGTGTGTCACAGGGTGAAGTCTGGCTGGAAAATTCAAGATGAAAGGTTGTAATTACATTTTAATGGGAAACCTAAAAGAGGTTCACTTGATAAGAGTAGATCTCAGGGATTACTTAACTCTTAATTTCGATTTCATTTCACAAAATCAGTTTGAGGCTAAGCAAAGTGATTGAGCAAAGTGACTGAGTGTTGGAAATAATTATTTTAATTGGCGGGTAAATTATAAATTAAGCAGGGAAAAGAGTCGCCAAGGAAGCGGAAGTAAGGCCGGGAAAATCGTGAGGAGAAAAAGTGACTTGGGGGAAAATCAAACAGAGGGTCAGCCGCCATTCAACACCTGCCACGCCCTCTTTGTCGCCCCCTGCCGAGCATCCCACTTGCCTGCCAATTTTCAACACCAGAGGGCGTCAAAGTGACGTGTCGTCTGGCTGGCTTTTCCAGCTTTCCCCACTCCCCACTCCGCCTTTCCCCTTTTTCCGCCCCACCTTGACTTCTTTGCTTTTCCCGACTTCCCCCCTCGACGAGTTCCCTCTTCGTTTTTGTGTGTGAAGCATTTAAAAGTCACTTAAGTGGAAATTAAAAAGAAATTATTCACTTTGGCACACACACACAGACACACACAGAGAGTCGTGTATAAAGTGTTTTCCCCATTTTCCCCATTTTCCCAGCTTTCCTTTGCCTCAATTGCTTTTTTATTTTTTTCAGATTTATTTTTTGCTCCGCTCCGTTTGTTTGTTTGCTGTAATTGTTGTGGTCTGCCTCATTATTTGTATCTGGTCAAGGGAAAGCGGTGGAAAAGCGGGTGAAAAGCGAGCCCCAAAACAGATATCATTCCCCCTCGAAAGCATCGCCCCTGCCCCACCACCCCCTTTAATTGTGGTTCATTTTCCGAGTCTTTTGAGTTTCGGGTCCCTTTGGCTTGTGGCACATTTCCTACATTTTCCTACATTTTCCTATATTTTCCCACATTTTCCTACATTTGACCACAATATTTTTGTGGAATTGCTCGCAAATTGTTTATTGCTGACCTCAAAGCTATTTGGGGATTATGGCCAGCAGAGACAAGGTGTTGGCCATCATTTTGCCCCATCTTGCGACCTCTGAGCCGTCCTCGGGGCCAGATTAATTTTAATGGATTTTAAAGAATGAAATTAGAGCGGCGTTTAAGGCATTAACTTGTTGTTCCTCGCAGGCGATTAATACTTAAAAGGTTATTTAAATATAATTTCGGTACTAAACATCCTAAACTAAGGATAGAAAGTTAACTTTCTCATCAAAGTTGTTCAGCGGGAAATTGAAATCGAAAGAGCTTTCCCTTTGTTCGGCTCAGCCTGCAGTGGATAGACGAGTACATCCTCATAATTTGTCCCCTTTTATGCCTCGTATTTGTGTCATGTTCAAAGCGACCATTTTTTGATGCCATCCACGGCCTCATCAACTTAATCATTGAAGGAGAAGGAATAATTTGCCTGGCACAGATCCTTCGTCCTGCCTAAAACTGAAAGAGCAGAGAAAAGAGCAGAGCGCAGCACAAAAAAAAAAAACAAGAGGCGGAGGCAAAATAAATAATGTGAAAAGAGGAAACATTCAGCTTCGTTGACGGCGACCCATTGACCAAGTTAAAAAGGCTACATGTATATGGGCATATATGTATGGCATATGTATATGTGTGGGTAAGGCCGCACATGTGTGAGTTATGCAAAAACCATATATATACTATATATATATATCACATATATATATGATATATTTTTTCCTTTGCTGCGGAGGCACTTCAAATGCGGTTTGGGGCCGCGGAATCAAGCGCCAAGAGACCTCATAAAAAACGACTAACGCGACTGGCTCACACAGATACACACTCACACTGCCGCACATATTGAGTTGTGGCTTAATGCCGCACACACACATGTACAGAACACCCGCACACCCGCACACCGACACACATAAGGGTTCAAAGTTTGGCAGAAGGAGCGCAAAAACCAAAACAGAAATATTTCGCTCCATTTTTTGTACGAGGTTTTCTGTTTTTTTTTTTTAATATTTTCTTCCCACAAAATTTGTGTCATGCCATGTGCCCGGGATTGCATAACCCCCTTTTCAGGGGGCCTGCAGGGGCGCCTCCACCACGCCCCTGCACAGCCGCAGCTTCATTTGGCAACTGAAAATTCCCACAGATTAAACAGGGAATTGAAACGAGACGAGAAGCTGAAAAGGCGTAGTAAAAACAGCAGCCTTAACTATGTATTAAGTAGGCGAAATTGGGGAGATTAGTTATGGAATTATAAGGGGGAATAAGAAGGGATAAGTTTCGAGTTTCAAATCAAAGAAAAAGATTTTTCAAATATTTTTTTCAATATTTTTCTAAGTAGGCGCAGAGCAACCTCTAATAGCAGATTCTCAATTAAAATGAACTTCCCTTTCCCTAATTTAGTAAAATTAACAAACAAAAATCTAAACAGATGTTTAGATAACCAACAGCGAGCACTTTTTCAGCTTAACAGAATTTAAAATTCGCAAGTTCCCCGATAGATCTGCATCTGATATTTCAATTTAAACTGGAGCTGCAAACGCAACTGGAATTAGGGATTAGGATGACAGGGCGACAACCACAAAGCCATCAGCACAGCAGCGCTTCCATTTTCCATTTTCCGTTTCCCATTCTCCGCCCGCTTCATCGAGTTCCACATTCGCTTCGCTGGCAACTTAAATTTCCCCCCCATCCCCATCCTGCACTCAAAACAGGAATGGAGGAGCGTGGCTTTCAAGAGGGATTTCAACGGCGGAGAGCGGGGCGGTTTCCACAAGCATCTGTGATGCACTGCATCCACGGCAAAAAGTTCATTAATCTAGTTACAAGTTCGCGCAGACAGTTCGCATAATCAATCAATAGACACACGATGGTGGCTCTCCGGGAGCGGGGCAGAGGATTCTGGGGCGTAAACATGTTGAAAGCCCCTCGAAGCCCCACGCCGCTGTATAGGTGGGCGTGAATGCCGGGGTAAGGGCGGGGCGTGTGACAGTTTTTTGCGGTTTTCTGCCCGCTGAGTGACAGGAACAGGATAGCATTTTCTAAGCGGGGTTTCTTCGGCTTTTCTTTGGCTGCGAAAACTCCTACAGGAGCAGCAGTGAAAGATGTGCCATAAAAAAGTTAATTAAGTTAGAACACGGACTGGGGAAGAGGAGAACTTTAGCTTGGCCTTTTAGCTTAAAAACTACATTTTTTTAAACTAAACTTTAATTTAATGAGATTACGTGGTAGACACGATGATTATGGTGAATTTAAGTCATCGGCTAAAACACAAAAAAGGATTCGGATGGCTTAGCCAGCGAAAAATGGAAAAACGAAACGCCTTTACTCCTCCCTTAACTCCTCGCCAGTTGGGGTTTTGCCATTATTCATCAACGATTTCTGATCTTTGTCCTGAGTATCCTCCTTTTCCTTTTCCTCGACGATCCTTTCCATAGGCCGACGAACATTTCGATTGGTGCCCAGACGATGACTGCAACAGGAGCAGCCCTGCTCCGCCTTCTTCAGCTGCTTGGCCATGCGGTTGTAGGTCTTCATCTCCGGATGCCCAAAGCAGTGCTCGCACTCGTCGTCCGTGGAGGACGAACTCTCGCCGAAGGGATGCGGCTTCCGATAGATGCAGCAGCACTTCGATTTGCGCCGATTCATGTGCTCGTTATCGATAACCCCGGCATGGAATCCAACGCGCCTCTGTGGCCTCTCCGGTTTGGCCAAACGTAGCCGCAGCACGCCTGGAGCATTATCGTTAGTGGACACGCCGCCTTGGTGCACCGAATGGGTGCTGCCCGCCGAACTGAATCCGGAATCAACCTCCGTCGAAGTCACCGGCACAGAGCCGGAATCCGTCATATCGATTGTAGGCACTTTGGCCTTCGACTGATCCATGCACAAGTAGCAATAGCTAAGCGAAATTTAGAGCCCTTTCAAAGGCGATTTAGGAAATTTGGGGGATTACGAATAGATTCGTTCGGAATCTTGATCTCTAAGCCCGACCGGTTTTGTAGAAAACGAAACTTGAAATGATGAGCTGACGAAGCAGTTGCCATAACCAGCGGGGAAATTATTTTCAAGGCTTGTTAAGTTCTCGTTTTATTTATTTCAAGTAAAGTTATGTCCCAGCCTAAGTCCCTCCAAAGCTTCCTTCGATTAGATTCCAAAATAGGTGAAAAGTTTTTCGAACCTCTTCCATGATACTTCCCCTCTCGAGAGAGCGCTATTTAAATTAGAACTAGAGAACTATATATGTACATCGATGGGTGTCTTGAGGCTGCCTGTGAGCCAGCAAGTTTGCTGACCTCTTGCCCTTTCTTTGCCCTCTCGTTCTACGCCCGTCTACCCCTCCACCTCTGGCTGTCTCGTCTCCAGCTTTAGCCGCAGTCATTTTGGCTGCCAAAACTTGTGCACGACTTACGTCAATTGGACAAGCGCCAGGACACGCCTTAACCCCGCAGTGCCCCCGTGCCATTTAACCCGCAGCTTTTCCGCCCAACCCACCACTCCACCTTGCCCAACCGTTTCCCAGCTTTACCAATTCCCACAGCAGCTCCTTTGCCGAGCTCTATGTTTACCTAAAATGCAATTCTCCTTGCCCGCTGCAGTTTTGCATTTATTATTGGTAGAGTGGGTGGAAGATGGGCGGGAGCTTGGCGGCGGCTCGGAAAACCCATTTTCCATTTTCCATTTTACTTTACCACTTTTGCCTTTGAAAATTGCACAAAAAATCCGCCCTGCCCTGCCCCTCTGTATATATATTTTTTTTATTTACGCATGGCAAATAAATGTTGAAAATAATATGATGGCTGCTGTGCTGTGGGGTTAAGGAACTTTTTGCCAGCTTCGTTTTCGTTTTCTTGGCTTTCGGTTTTCCCAACCGCTTTTTTTCCCCACTATTTTCCCCACTTTTTTCTGGTGGCCTCGTGTATTTTACTTCTTGTCTACGTTTATCTGGCATTAGGAGCAAGAAAAATTATGTTTGCGGTCGAAAAAAAAGGGGGTTTTGTCTGCTCTGCAGGAGATAATAAAAAAGAAGCCGCAGCGTCCGAATTGCGAAGAGCCCAGCCAACGACCCTGAATGAAAAATTATGCTCAATGCTCTTTAAATAGTTACGCTTTCCCCGCTTTCCCAGCCTCCCCTGCCTTGGCGAACAGGGGCGTGGCCGGGGTTCAAGTGCAAGGCACAGACGTGGTTCGAGGTGACAAAGTATGCTTCTTGGCATACAAATGTTGTGTTAACCGATTGATTTAGCTTGAACAACGAAGCTTTTAGCATGGAAACTATGATTGCATTTTATTCTTCTTCTATTTTTAGGAGGTGGATTTAAAATTTTATATTCTTTTGTTTGGAAAGATTTATCAGTTCTGTTGAAACAATTTAACAAAAATAGAAATAGTAACAGGAAGATTGATGCTGACAAAAAAGGATTTTTGAAATCGGAACTATGTTTTAGCATTAATATTATTGGTTTTTTAAATACACTTTCTGTGTCCAATCATCTCAGAATCTGCATGCTTAGTCCTTTCAGATCTTTTACTCGTAGTTCCCAAGATATCAGTTTTCTCACAGACAAACGGACAGAAATGGCTTAATGGACTGGTGTAGTGATAGCGATCACAAAAAATAATATATAAACATATATCTATATATAAGGTTGTCATAAAAGTCTTGCGGTATAAATATGGTTACAATAATGCGATTCAAGTCAAATCTGCGCCAACTTCATAATGCCCCTCTCATAGAAGCTCGCTTCCCTATTGGCAAAAAACTCGGATCGTGGCGCATCTTCGACCACCTCTACACCAGAACGAAAACGTTGATACCATCGTTGTGCGGTGGAAATGGAAACTGTATCGGGTCCATAAACTGCACAAACTTTATTGGCGGCTTGAGATGCAATTTTGCCTTTATCGTAGTAGTACTGTAAAATATGCCGTATTTTCTCTTTATTTTGATCCATGATTGCGACGCTATACCTCACGAACGACTTAAAAGAAAAGACAATCAGTCAAACACGTGTTAGCCCGTGAAATGAGCTTTCCAAAAAGGTATAGTATGACCTGATGCGGCGAATAAAACAAAGGCAGTTCGGCGATGTTAAATAGTTTGACCAGAAGCTAGTAGTCCTTTTCAATATGGTATAAAATGGCATTCTCTTCCTTTTTCCTTACACTCTTCACGAATACAATACAACCTACTATCATTTTCAGATCAAGTTCAGATCAAATTATGATTTACGAAGTTCTGGCTTTGGCATTACCACTACTAATCGCAACCATAACTTGCCAACGGTAAGGGGTTAGATCTATGCCCAAAGGTAGACGCACTTCACCCGTTCCCCTTAATCGTTTGAGGGCCATCGGCTTTTTATTTGGGCACTTTCCGCGACACCCAGTTGGGGAATCACCTAAAACTATTTGCAGACCATTGGACTAAACACTTCGGCGGCTGCTCTTCACGCACTTAACGGCCAAATAAAAGTTTCCGGTGGGTGGAAGACGGGAGCAGGAAGTGGGAAGGCAGAAAACGGAGGGAGGCGTTGTGTCCGAGGAAACCAAATCCTCGAGTGCCTGTGGCCATAACTTTCTTTCTGTGTGCCATTGAAATGAAATCTAAAATTCATTACGCATTTTATGCGTCAAAAGGAGATTGGGGATTGGGATTGGAGATGGAGATGAAGATGGAGATGGAGATGGAGATGGAGACGGAGGCGGAGGAAGATGTGCAGATGAAAATGAAGGTGGAGGATGGAGGATGGAGATGGGTGGCACGTAATGAGGCACGTGCCCGGTCTGAACCGGCCCCATCCCCATTCCACAAATGGCATTTATGTCCCAATGGAGACACGCACAAAACGCGACGACAGCAACGCCTTCGACTGTCTCCTGTCTCCTGTCTCCTGTTTTCCTCGCCTTTCCTCCGGATTTTCCTGCAGCCCCATCTGCGCGAACAATTTACCCGCCGGAATTGTAAGCTCAAGCGTCCGTGTCTCCTTTGTCGCTGGTGTGGTTGTCTTTGGGGAATAAGATGAATTACATGCTACTTCAGGCAGCCTCCTTCTCCGTCAGCGACTCCCTATCGCCGCTCGCCACTCTTCTCCCTGGGCATGCAAAATCATGCAGATAACGCACAAAAAGGTACCAGAAACTAAGTCCCCGAGCGCATAGTTTCCCAGCAGGAAGTCCCTTTAAAAACAGTGGAACTTGAGCTCTAAGAAAAAAGACAAAAAATGGGGGAAAACAAGGAGCATAAACGAGAAGAATTGCAAATGGGAGAACCTTAGAAATACAGGGAAGAAAGATTTAAATACAAAGAAGGAAAATTCAACAACATTGAAGCTCAGTAAAGCTTGCTTGAAATTTCTCTGATTTTTATAAGTACAATGTTAGACTTGCACAATGATGGTCACACTTCTTCATTAGTATGACCATTTAGCTTTCTATCCAGTCAAAGTTAGACCGTTAACATACAAAAACGAAGTTTAACACTAATTGGCTGTTCATTCTGTAATCCCCAATCAGCATTTTAACCAACTCTTAATTTTGCGAATTATTCTTAAGTTGGTCACACTAATGCAGTAGTGTAACCTTCCAACGTTCTTTCGAGGCTCGTTTAGGGTATTCTTCATGTACTTAAGACCATATCAGATATTATTCCTAAGCCTTAAACTACTACTTAAGTCAGCATAAAATCCCGCAAAAATGTAAGTGCACATTGAAGATACACGAATCGTAATCTAATTTGTAGATCGAGTTCCTCTTGTGAAACCGATCCGTAGGGCTGCCAGCCCATGCTGTTCGGAATTTATGGAAATTTCGATTTAACAATTTCCGCCTTGCATCGAAAGCAGTGTGCCGGTAAAAAGGGAGAAAGAGAGCGAAATCAACCGCACGGAAATCATGTCTACGCATCATTCTTTGTGCTATTACTCTACTAGTCCACTCCCCCACCTCCCCCACCACAGTCCATTTCTTCCTTTTTTTGGCATTTCTGTATTGTATTTGGTTTGGGTTTGTGTGTGTGAGTGTGTGTGTGTGTGATTTTTCGTGGCTGTGTGGAAATGTGTGATAAGCAGTTTCCGCCAGGGAATAGACCACACACACACACAGATGAATGTGTGTATATATTTATATATATTAGGTATATAAGTGGCATGGGGTGCGAAGATAGTTCTTTGAATGCCTAGGCTTCGCCCCTATTCTTTTCATTGGCGTCGAACTGTACAACACGGCAAGTCGAAACGAGTAAGAAGAGTTAAGTTTTAAAAAAAGTCAACATAAATTTAGAATTACCAACAGAAAATGTTTTAATTTCATAAAAAATCGTACTATTCTGACTTTTTCTAGTGTCTCGTTTCTGTTTAGTGTGACCATGCCTCTGAATAATACGAATTTTCATTGAAGTTTCTCAAAAACTTAACAAAAGTCATCTTTATTTTCTAACAATTTAGTAAAAGTATCACAAAGTAAGGAGTTTTTCTCAGTGCAGGGATGCCAGCAGCCAACCAACTGAGGACCCAGAAATAGGCAAGGCTTCGAAATTGAGCCACATCTCATAGTTAAGGCGGCAAAGGGAAGCGGAAGCTGTGGCTACTAATGCAAATATAATGGCAAATGTTTCGGAAATATATTTCACAGATAAAATTGATAAAGAACACGACGCCGCCCTTAATCCACCCCCGGCAAATCCATTGTATGCGGCGGCAAGCGGAAAACTATTTGCTCGCATTTTTCCACACTGCTCTACACCCTATTATCCAGCAGCATTCACAAACAACGGCAACAAAAAAGGAAAACATCTGAGAGACGGCTCTCCTCACTTGTGATTCCCAATCCCAGTCCTTTGTATCCTTTCCTTTTCCCTGGCCTTGCTTTCCTTATCTATCAATCTATAACTCTCATCATATTTGAGGATTGTTCAGGCAGGCGAAAAAGGTTGGAAAAGCCTCCTTTATATCCGTTCTTTATGGGAAGACACATATTCTTCTCTACAAAGCTGTTTAAGTAGTAGATTTTCTAGGCACTTTCTTAAAGAATATTGTTAGTATTTTAGGTAATAC